CTTTTTTTTTTTTTTTTTTTTGGTTTTTCGAGACAGGGTTTCTCTGTGGCTTTGGAGCCTGTCCTGGAACTAGCTCTGTAGACCAGGCTGGTCTCGAACTCACAGAGATCCGCCTGCCTCTGCCTCCCGAGTGTAGGCAAACAATTTTAATGTTTTTATTATTTGATTTTTTTCATTCATACATACAATACAGTGTACTTTAATCAGATGCAGATCCTACTACTCCCCTCCAACTCCTCCTGATTCCCACCCCCGTCTCCTTTACAACTTTATGTCCTCTTTCTTGTTTCTTTTACAACACACCAAGTCCAGTTCATGCTGCCTAGATACTCAAGGTGTCAGGCCGTCCAGTAGAGTAGGGTCAGCTTACAGGATTCACCCCCTTCCGAAACCCTCATCCTCCCTCTCAGCAGCCACCAGTTATCGGTAGTTCTCAGCTAGGGATGGTGGCTCGTGCACGCCCATTCACGCCTTCTGAACTATTGGCTGCCTTGATGTGGTTTAGATCTTGTTCAGGCATTTACAGGTGCCCTGAGTTCATGAGTCCAGTGGTCCTGTCGTGTTTAGAAGACAAGTTTACTCCAGTTCTGCCCGCCCTCTTGGTCTGGCTGTCTTTTCACCCCTCTGTGTGAGATTTTTGTTTGTTTGTTTTGTTTTTTGAGACAGGGTTTATCTTTGTAACAGCCCTAGCTGTCCTGGAACTAGCTCTTACAGACTAGGCTGCCTTGAACTCACAGAGATTTGCTTGCCTCTGCTTCCCGTGTGCTAGGATTAAAGACTGCGCCCGCCACCACTACCTGGCCCGTGTGAGAAATTTTAAGCCTTGATGGCCCATTTAAGTCTAATTTAGAGTCTTCATATATCATAATGGCAAGAAACCACCTTTTTGTAGGTATCTTTGTTTCTGTTTTTGTTTTTGTTTTACAGGTCTGTTCATTAAAAACAATTCTCTTTACTTCAGACCCGCAAAACAGCTAGCTGGCTGGCAGCGGAGCTCTCCAAGGAGGGCCACCAGGTGGCTCTGCTGAGTGGGGAGATGATGGTGGAGCAGAG